AATTCTATGTTAATTAATTTTAAATTCAAGTGAATCAGTTTTAAGTGCAAATTTACAATATGAAGTTGATAAGTGTAGATATATATATATATATATATATATATATATTCGGCTAGATAAGAAAATTTTTCAATAAAAAAAATTTATAATAAAATTAGAAAATGAATGCATGTGAGCATGAAGTTTGGAATTGATTGACGGAGATTTGAATTTCTTTTGAAACTATATTTCATATTTTCATGATAATAAGTGATTGAAAAAAATTTGAAAGTAACTAAAAAGTGAAAATTGAAAAATATATATACCTGTAGTATGCTCAATATAAATGGTATTTATAAGTGATGTTTGATTGAGGTTGAATGAATAGATTGTAATTTATTATAAATGTTATGTGCATCAATTTTAATCTATTAAAAGGTGTTATGCCAAAAAGTAAAATCAAAATGATGATCACATAAAAATTGTAGGAGAATATTCTACAACCATATGCTCGGATATTTTCGAAGTAATGTTAAGTATATACAAGAGCGTAAGATGAAGCATGACATCATTAACTCGTTTCAAATAACTTACAATTTGTTGAAGTTAACACTTTTTAACAACATTATACAGCATCATCACAAGATCATTCTTAATCACTATATGTCACTATAATTAACATTTTTATTAATTTTTTATGAAAATTAAAATTTTAAACATTACATTTTAGTATTCAAACCTTGCATCTAAAATATCATTCTAAGAATTTTACTTCAGCAAACAATATCATTTACAAAAATTTCTTCAATTTTTTTGTCATGATATGATTATTGATTTTCACAGATAATAGAATTAATGAATATAATATTTTAAGCTTATTTTATATTTTTCATTCACTATCACAAGTATTTCATCAAACAGAACCAACAAAAATATCATAAGTATTATATTGATACATGATTCACATCACAAATAATAATTTTTTTTTTCATTTTTTTGCATCAAATGACACCAAATGTGATTTATTATTATAATATTTATGACATGATAAATAAATGAATAAATTTAAAGCTAGAGATAATTCAAACTCTTTGATTAAATCAAATTTTGATCAACTAAGAAAAATTGCGACATAAAAAATGAAACTAAGATTCTTCTATCAATGTATTCAAAAATTTAATGTAAAGTAATATGTATTGTTCCATAAAAAATATGAATTATGAATATGTTGCATGTCTTATACCCATGAACTTTGATGATTTATAGATTTTACATTGACATGTATTTCTAATACAATTGCTACATTTCAAATTTTATATCTATATTAAATATTAATAATATTAAATAAATATGAAAGAATGTATATTCTGTAATTTAGTTATCTATAAAATATTACATTTATTATTGAATTTAATTTACATAATTTATTAAGTTTCAAATATTTGATGAAATCAAACGTATACTGATCAATTTGATATGATGTCAAATTCAAATAAAATTTTAAGAAAAAAATGATAGAATTGAAAATAAATATTACATAATTATGAAAAAAGATAAGCATAGTTATAAATCCATGCTTAGAGCTCAATAACATCTATGATAAAATCATTTTCATCAAATTCCAACTTGAGATGATTCATGATTGTTCATTTAATATGATCTACATGAGTAATCTGCTTGCAATTTGATACTACATGCTTATGATAGCTTATTATTTGCTCTAGAAAACTTATCTTAAAATCTTGTGAACAATGTATTTATGCAAACAGAACAATTTCAAAACTTGTTTCACTACATTCATTTATATATGTATTAATAATTCTATAATGTCATTTTATATTAAAAATATTGATATAAATTTATAAATTATTTAAAATTTTCATAACTTTGGCATTTTGAGAGTTTAAAACCAAATAGTAAAATAAATATAACTATTAGTCATTTGATTGTTCAAGCTTATATAATTTATCACAAAAATTTTTATTCATAAGTATTGAGTGTTGTATTGCTAAGACGGAAAATAAACAATCATTGATTTCTAACAAATTATTTGAACATTAAAGAAATAAAATATACCATATTTGATTGATAGCATGTGATTGTAAACATTAATATATAATTTATAAAATATAATGAATCTATATTAAATTAGATTGATGGCTCAATATTTCATACATGATGAAAAGTGTGAACTATGGTATATTTATTTGTTCACATCCGGCAAGTTATTTAAATGATTTATATGTAAATCTAAAATCTAAAATTTCTGATGAATTTAACATCTTAATTTATTAAATTTTACTTTTTTAAAAAACTAAATTATATACAGTAACTATTGGATTTGAAAAAGTAGTAAAAAATATATATTGGTAAATTTTAAAAGTTCACTATGTGAATTAAAGAAAATTTTCAAAAAATGCAATGCAAGGTGTGTTGAGTTCATGAAAGCACACAAAATTGTTATACATAATGCTTGATTCTTGTGTGCACATGCAAAATTTGAAAAAATAAAATGAATAGCTTCAATATTGTAATATCATATGTGAATAGCATAATTATTTTGATAATAAAATTCAACATGTAAAAGTGAAATAATCAACTAAAAATTGCTTTTTAAATGAAAAATTTGGATAGTTTTAAAATTATAATATTTAAAAATGTTTTCCAAAATTTTTTAAAAAAATGATTAAGTTAAAACAAGTATGTTCAATGTGTATTTAAAATTTTAACTCAATAAATTTTTAAAAAAGTGATATGCTTTGACAACATACTTGACAGTTTTTAAATCTCAATGTTAGATTCATTCATTTGGAATTAACATTTTTTTATCAATAGTTTATGATAAAACAATGAACAACCTCAAATTTTTTTTACTCTGTGCACTAGATAGTTTGTTGATTTTTTTATGAACAAGGTGCATTCATGTTCAATTCATGAAAGCTTAATCAAGAAGATGTAAAATGAACTTTTCCAATTTACTAAGAACAATATGTAATATGATTCTTTGTTTTCTAAATTATCATTCGAAATCAGTTGCTTTGAAATGCTACGTTGATATTGACTTTGAATATGATTTAGACAAAAAAAAATCTATAGGTATTAAATATTTAGGGTAAGATAGAAGTTACTTTTTCAAAAAATGCACCACTAGATTAAGTATATAATGTTTCTCATATAACAGTAGAATAAGTTGCAAAAAAAATTATCTGATTGAATAGACCTTTCATTCAAATAGAATTAAAACAAAATGTTATCAATCTTGTGATAGTTAAGTTGCATTTCTTTTGCCGCAATCAAATGACTAAAAATATCACATCAACATTAAATATCATTTTATCAAATATATTTTTCGTGTTGAGAATTATGAGCTATCCAAGATTGAAGATATTTAATTTATTTGATACATGAAAAAAATAATTCTTTGGAAAGTTTCAATAAGTATTATGCTAACATCTAGATTTTTTATAAGGAACTCACAAAATGTATAGGCAATTTTTTTTATTCTCATAAATGATTTTGATTTATATTGATTCAGTTTCTATTTAGTTCTAAGTCATGTTAGACTAAAAAATTACCTTTGTTAGATTTAATTTTGGCGTTTTGCGTGAACTATTTATATTAAGAGAGATTATAAGTTTTAAGATTTGGATTGGATAAAATATTGTTAAAGTTGAATTTAGATCTGAAGAACTCAATTGATTGTACTTATTAGTTTGTTGTTATATATATTAGTAAATCGTAATCATAAGTGAGCCAAAGTTTAGTATTTGTTTAGTGTGATATTTTTCTGTGTGAATGTGTATAATTTAATAGATGTAAATTTCGCGATGATCGTGTAGACTTACGTATGATCTTTTAATCATAATTTAACAATTATGTGCTTCAATGATATGTTAAGAATCAAGATAATTCAAGTAAAAATTAAAAGTAAGCTTGAATTGTTCATCTAATAAGAGATTTGAGTAAAAAATTAATAATGTGTTTGTCAAATATATAATTAATAAATTTTCAATCAAAAAAGTTTAAAATTTCAATCTTTAAATATATTTAAATAATCTATAATTTCTAACCATATCTTCAAATCTATATAAATTTTTTATTACACAATAATTCTCATGAAAACCTTCTGCTATGGAAAATATTAATTTTTATATTCAAAGACTAAAAAATCATCAAGAGTTTGGTACTTCAATCAATGAGTCACAAAAATGCATCACAAAAATACAGATTAAAATGTCATTGGTAATCAAATGAATGAAATGTTCAATTTGTAATATTTAAAAAACTGAAAACGTGTTATGTGTTCATATCTAATGTTGGAGTGGGTTGAAATTTTGCATGAAAATTTTCACAATTGAGAAAAATGGCAAGAAGAGAATAAAATCTCATACTTATAATAATTTTTTAATCAAAAAAATGCATGGACAAGAAGTGAAAGAACACTTTTTATACCTCATGTCAATTCAGATCATTTTTTGTCTACAAATTAAAAACCCATCGATCCCGAGAGTGAAAACTAATACTGATTTTATATATTTTTAAATATGCAAACATGCACGTTATTTTAAATCTTTCAATCAAAAGTTTTAAAGTTTGAAATTTGTATTTAATCTGTATAAAGTGATTGTCAAATTTTTTTAACATTTTAAGCAATTTGAGCATGTTTTAAACGATGACATCAGAAAGGACTTTCAAGTATATAAATTATTTACTTTGACAGTACTATGCAATTCACATTGGCGTGTGGTAAACTTCAGTGCTTGAGTAACATTCTGGGATGAATGATCAAACTAAGATTGCTCCTATGTTATACAAAAGTTTTAACGCCATAGAATGTGAAATTTATTTAATTAAGATGGTGCCCGGCGTACGCAGCGTAGTAAGAATTGATTGAAAGCAAGGAACCAAATCGGTAATAATGTGAACAAGTAATTCCGAGTGATTAGGCAAGCAAGACAGCGAGATGAAAACGCAAAATCAGGACAAGTAACAAATATAATAGAATATCAGACGATAACCTGGGCAGATTAACAAATTGAGAATGAGAATTCCTGTGTCTTTCTTCATGGGCTTAAAACTCTCTGTTACGATGACTGGCGGTGTAAGTTCCTATCGTAAAGTTCAACCTGATAATGATAAAGAAGCTAGTAAAAGTGTAATTACTGTTTTGCAAGTTTAACTCAACAGTCAAGCTGAGTCATAACCGATCATCTGCGCTTGTGATCTGTCAAACTGTACACTCAGTAACTAGCATCTGCATGTTGAAGCCCGTGAAGTCTTTACTCTCGTTATCCGCTAACGAACTACAAAATTTGCTGGAAAAAAGTTTATTGAATACATTCACCAACTCAAGGATTAGATCAATAATGTATACTACCCTTGATACAGGTTCGTCCTCACTGCTCTACCGCGAGATTTCTTACTAGACCTTTTTATCTAAACTTTTGACATGAGTTGATGCAAAATGGATTTCACTGCAGGAACCATTTAGACGGCTGGAACGAACTAGCCCCATATATCTCGGAAAATTGCTAAATCTGTGTAATGCTCAAGTGTCACCGACCTTCTATTTGTATCTTCCAGGGCTCATGGTATGACAGCTCTCAAGCTTATAAACAAAGAAAAGGCTCTTTACAAAAATGCTGATTTAAATTTACACCGTTGCTACTTTCTGTTTCCCTAGAGCTTCTTGAGCAATTTGTAGTGCCGTTTCCACACTGTCCGCACTTTTCAGAGCAGGAATGTCGATGGCTGGTTGTTGTCTTGCAAGTTTAGGTAACAGAGCAAATTCCTGCCGCAATGAACACAAAAATGTGAGTGAAAATCTCAAGCCTGGCTTTGAGGCCTGGCAAAATCAACTAAGAAGCAAGCTGGTAGCTTCATCAAGTATAATCAACTGTATAAAAAAGCTTCTTCCTTGCATTCAGAATACTCTCAGATCTCCCGCTGTAGAATTATCGTTCGTCTAAGTGTATACACAGACAGTAAGCAGTCTTACCTCAGCGGAACCGCTCTCCAAGAAAACACCTTTCACACGACCTGGAAGAGCAAGGAAGATTCTTAACACACATGGCAAGTGCAATAAAAAAGTAAACTATTCTCGCGGGTCAGCCTATATTTGGTAATATGCTTCAGAGAAGCAAATACATTACTCTCAAGGATCTTAACACCAAATTGAAAAACTTAATTAACCTTCCGCCGGTTATTATATTAAGAACCTATTTCCGTCTAGTATTGCAGTGGTACACAGTAACTGAAATCGATCAACGAAGACACAAGTGATACCTGATTCGATCCAGAAGGCAGCATATTTAGGGTCGAAGTTCCCAACCTCGACGCATTCTCCAACTATATAGAATAAACAGCATCCAGACAGTCAGATAAGAAGATAAATTTACAATATCTTTGGTACAATTTACTCTGTCTCTCTCCATGTTACTCATATTGAGCACCCTCGTCAAGAACTGAGCATAAGAAAGGTAGTTCTGGGAAGTACCATTGTCGCCATAAAATTGCCACCACACTTTTCTCTCGCTGCCTGGGGCCTCGAACACTCTTGAATAGAAGAATGGTAGATAATCGTAGCTGTATAAGACACGAAAGCATGATAAAAATGCCATCAATGAACATCTTGCACAGACATCTCTCAGAACGTACCTTTCATATCTGTAAACATAAAACCTACACTAGAATCAACAGTTGTCACTCCAGATTGAGCATCCAAAAGACCTTGAATAAATGCAAACAATGATCAGTAAGGTTATCAAGTTACATACGCTTCAGTTTTGCCTTTCACCAATGACTCCACGCAGTGTGTTGCTGACTTACGAGCATGATCCACATGCTCAACTCTAGTTCTTCTGTCATATATCTACAGTACGTAACAGAGACGTCAGGTGTCGTGTCAATGGTGACTACCTCGTCATCGTCTGCGCCAACCAAGTAAGACGATGAATCTAAAACCACTTGAAATTGCACTTTTAGGAAGTAGTGAACTAAAATCTGAAATTGCACTCTAAAATACGATTTCGCAACTTAAGATTCTGTTGAGACTGATCCACTGATCATTTTTAACCTTTTGGATATAACTCCATCAATCAAGTAGAATTAAACTACTGCCAAAACCCACTCCCTAGAATGACAGTATTATAGAGAAGTGTCAAGCTTCAAACCTTGAGGGGGAATGCTGCCACATCTCCGATAGCATATACGCCAGGTGAGCTTGTGTTGAACATTCCATCCACCTGAAGTTTTCCCGAAAATTACAATCAAGTCAGTGAGGATGTAAATGCAGGTTATTTCTTCAAGCATGACAACACCGAGAGCGAGTCTCAGCTACTTAGGACAAGGAAAATCCATATATGGAAACTGCACTAACTATAGACTGATAGAAAGGAGAAAATCAACCAATTCCAAACAAATACTTTACCTCGATAGCACCAGCTTCAGATTTCAATCCTGCATCTAAGAATGGAGCGACTACAGGCCGTGCTCCCACTCCTACAACAACCTGCCACGTTCACCGCGAGAAAAGACCACCCACTTTGTCATTCACCATTATGTACTCTTTGATAGCTTTGACAACATTTTATAATGGTTGAATTCCTCTGCCTGACATTCTACAATTCACACAAGCCATTGTGTAACAATCAGTCATCAGTCATTCAACATTCTGGAAAATAAGGTAATGTTTTGTATATCAACATGCATCTCAGAAAAGCCCTACACCAATCAAGCCATGGAGAGGTCACTTTTCTCAAAATGCCCTTTCCACTTTGATTCACAATCTATTAAATTTAACCTCACTTCGTGAGATGAAGGGAGATTAGTGACAAATTAAAAGTTAGTACCCCTCCTTCGATATCAAATATAACTTTAAGTCCTCTTGAAATATGATGGATAGAGCTTGTCTGACACTTGAACCTTATTCCTCAAATAAAAGTTCATTGTGATATCTATACTGTATTATCTATATATTATCTAAACAATTGGGTAGAAGCTAAACATCCATTATTGTCTACAAGTGAGAAGTACGTGGGAAGATATCTATGGGAGGGTAATAATTGAATTTGGAATGGTACTCAACCTCTAATGTAGTTGCAGTATTGAGCCTACCGCTTACTGTACATGTTAGACTACATGTGCTTTAAGAAAGAAATGAGGAATTATAGAGTTGAGTTTTAACATATGTTTGATCTCATAAGCTTCAAGGCAACTTTCAATGAGTGCACGTTTGAATTTCACGGTTAGTTTGAATACTGCTCCAAACTAATGAATATGGTCAAATCTGAACATAACAAAGCAAATAGATTCATTACAAAAGTATTTACATTCCCACTTACAAGGTCGGCATCCAAAGTCGTGCCATCAGTTAGTTCCACACCGTCAACTTCACCATTTGCGCCACTCTTAAGTTTAACCACCGAGACTTCCTGCACAACAAATTTATTATGTTATAAGAAATTTGATTGAAGCTACATAAGAGCTTCCAGGATGCCAGGTGGTAGCGTTGGTACTTGAGAAAGATAGTGGTCACAGAACAAACCTTGATAATCTTCACGTTATTTTTCTTGTACAGCTCCTCATAGTGTGCAGCTATTGTGGGTGTGAATAGTCGAGGCATAACATGCTGCTCTGGAAAGACAACCTGTGATAAAACGGAAATTCATAAGTGTTGATAAGACAAGGTCGTCTTCATGAATCCATCTCACAAATAGAGTCACATTCTCTTAACAAATTCTTACTGCCTATAACTAACAACATATGAGCCACATAAGGCACGGAGCGTTACCGTAACATCAAGCTTCCACGCAGAAACAGCTGCAGAGACTTCCAGACCAATATAACCTCCGCCTATGACTACAACCTTCTTGGCTGATTGCTGCAACCTCCAATGAACTAACAGTTAGAACACTTACAAAAAAATCATGACATATCAAATATCTATAACCAAACAAGACCCACGAATTAGTTATGAGATGATTGATTCTCAGATCAGTGCTTAGTCAGTTATGAATGTACATAGAAACTTTGTGAAGCCAAAATTCTAATGTTAGAACCAAATTTGCAGTTCAAATGTCCACTCAGCATACAGAGTCACCTAACTCTATCCAAGGTTCGATCAGTTTCTTCAGGTTGGAACGCGATATTTAATATAGGACTTGTACGTTGGAATTCTTATAAATTAATTTGCTTAATCTTCCTATCTAGCTTTGTATCTCATAGCATTCACTTTTTTTCTCAAAAGAGATGTTATATATCTTCATGAAACAGTTACACAAACTCACCAAAGCTGCGACGAGTTGATCAGCATCTGCGACATCGCGAATGTAATGGACACCTCGTAAAGATCCTCCAATTTTCTCAGGCAGCCTGTGAAATTTAGGCTTCAGAACGTTTATCCAAGGAATAAAAAACCTCAACAAAGTCTCAAACATATAGTACTTACCAAAAAAGAAGAAAAACTGTCACAATATCTAATCAAATGCGGAAAAAAATCTCTCCTGTACCCTTTCCTTTGAGGATAAATAATTTCTCATGATAATCTTTACCTAGAGGCAGTACAACCAGTGGCAATTATAAGCTTATTGTAGCTGATAGTATCTCCCGATGAAGTAGTCAAACTCTGCTTGTCTATATCAAGACCTGTTACTTCAGTGCCGTACAATACCTACCAACATCAATAAAAAATTTAGATCTTGTATGCCAATAACATATTTTTTTTCCATGAAGTCATGTGTCCAGAAAGAAAGACTGACAATCTTTGGTCTCCTCTATATGATCAATACTTGAAAACGTCGTCTGTATCAATTACGTGTGTGAAAAAAATTTTGAACGAAGCTCAAATCTGCTCCATAGTTGATAGATATGAGCTTACCTCAATTCCTTTCTCCTTATACCAGTCTGGAGTCTGTCGTTCTCCTCCCCCTCCGACACTTGTGTGGAATCCCTGAGAAACCGAGTTTCCATCAGTTGCTCTTCAGAATAAAAATAAAAGAAAAATAATCATCATCATCCTCTTCTTGTCCATCGAAAGAATCTAGAATCTCCTCATATGCTTCAATGTCCGAAAGCTAACAAGAATCAAACTTTTATGCTGATGGAGCCTGTAACAAACTTTGCGCCGGACCAGTTTTAAGTCATGTAATCCCGATCCCCAAAAATAAACAGAAAGAGCTGGAGTACGTGAAATTAGCTTACTGGTAATCTGGCTGGACTTTTGTCCACGGGGAAAAGATAGGCTTTTGTTAATGCTGGACGCTCGTATGGAGCAACATTCTGGAAGCACCAAAGCAGACAAAGTAGAATGGTCAATTCACAGATTTCACTACAATGACGTCCGAAAGAACATGTCAACACTTATCACGTAGTTTCCTGAACATTCAACTCCTGAGCTCTAGTAAGAAAATAATGCCATTGCAAAATAAGCATTTACAACTTGGAAGTCACTATCTTGTCGAAATTAATTCAAAACAACCACCTCTTTGGCTACAATGCAAACTTTCCCTTCGGCAGCACCATTCTCGACAAAAGCTTTGGCAGCATATCCAGCCGCGTTTCCCCCACCAACAATTACGTACCTGTAGGACACACAGTTAGTTCTAAGGCTTCTCCACGGTAATTGAAAACAAGCTGACTGGAAATTCTAGAGAGTCTACCATTCCTGATCCACAGCAGTACACTGAAGCTAAAAAGAAGTCACTTTAAGATGCCAATCCCAGTGCTCAACGAATTTTACTGCTCGTGCAGAGGTACGGACGGATCCGCCATCGTACTTTCGAGGAAACCCAAGAAGTGAAGAAGAAACTGGAAAAAACAATCGATTGAAATCAAATCAGCAGCAGACACACGGAAATCTACATCCACTCACTCTGTATTAGTATTTTTCTGAGCTGCAGAGGTGACCAAAGTTTTCACACGGGAGCACTTGGACACGGGACCTGCAACTTTCGAGACGCGAAACAAACCCAAGACGGAAGTGCGAGGCGCAACCACGCCGCCGGTAAACACAGTTCTTGAAAGTCCGGCCATCATTCCCGAATTGCGATATCAACTCCCTGGGAAGGTTCAGCTGAGTGTCGGAACTGAGACTGCTTCAGAGATCTCTGTCTCTCTCTCTATCTCTGTCTGTATCGTCCCCGGCGCCTCCCTTATGAGCTGACTGTCGACCCCTTCGCGCATGGACCGCTCTGTCTGCAAATCCTCCCGATGCCTCCCTCGCCAACTGAAAAGTCGGATTGCATATTGTAATATGCTGCATGCCCACGGTGACGCGACATCCTGACCGTGTGCCAAGTGGCCTTTTCGTCGTCCCCCACCCTCTCGGACGAGCAGCGGCGACGCCCCCGTCACCCCCTTTCCCCTCGACTCGTCAGCCTCGCGGTTTCTTTCTACCGCAGCCCTTTCCTTGCACGCTCGCCCTCACTTCGCCAAACCAGCACTTCCGCCATCTCCACGTCGTTACTTCGCTCTCGCTCTCGCTCTCGTTACGCTGTCGCCATTCTTCTCATTATTTGCATCTCTCAATCTTCTCTTCTTCTATTTTTGTTGTTGTCCTGGTTGCCACTGAAATAGGACTTTTTCCCAATCCGACAGGCCTCACAATCACGTGAGCTACAGCCCATACCGTGCGAAGTTTGTACATAGCTCCGTGTCTTGGATTTGTTGGTTCGAAACAGAAACTGCGAGGATATCTGGAAACGTCGAATTATTGATTTTAATTTCGCTTTTAAGTATATATCTTGAAAGTGGTAATCTAAGACTTTCCGGATAATCGAAAGTAAAAGCTAGGAAAGAGGCAGGTTGAATCTAAAAGCTCGTTAAAAGGGATCGGTCAAAGCTTTCTGGTCTTGTGACTTTTTATTTGTATCAGAAATCTTTTCTTTAAATAACAATTACACCTTCATAATCAAGGAATATGCAAATGTTAACGAAGTGTATGAAAGTAAACACTATAGTCTTTCTTATTCACAAAGGCTCTCCACAACCACGGAGGTGAAGTGACCACATTGGCAAGGAAGTGGGGGTGAGGATGAAGTGCAGCCTTACTGTGTCAGAAGCAGAGGTAATAAGTCAACATCGAATGGAAGTCCGTCGGGGACCGTCCGGCCATGTTCCGTCCCCACATTCCATGTGGGGAACACATTCCCTCACGCGCACAGTCACTATCTTATTTGCAGCCTCGATCTCTCATCTGATCTCTAACGTCAGTCGATGGGGGAGTCACAAACGGGATCCATCTATCTCTAATCATTATTATCGCACCCCAACACCCAATCTCTATTCGTATTACCATAAACATCAACAAATGCAATTTCTTCTCTGCTCCAAAAGTGTAAAAATAGCAAATTGAGAAAAAGGAAAAAACCTAAACTACTATTATGGTTCAACAAATATAGAATATCATCAAAGTACATTAAATCATTGGTATGATTGCGATAGTAGCTCAGTTAGTTAAATGGTAAATATTATAAGATGATTAAGATATTTGTCCGCGTCATAAATTATGAAAACTCTGCAGGGAAGCTATGCATAAGACATATATTTCTTTCTTGTAATTCAAATTTTGTTTTACTTTGGTTAACATAATCGTAGTTAGTTGAACTAGTTAGATTTCAGGCTAGAACAACCCCGAACGTATACTCGGGGGTTTACGGCATACGATGATCGTCATGATGGTGTCACCGTTCATCCGACCAGTGCTTAACCTGTAGTCAATGCACCCCAGTTAGTCGCTGTGAAACACGTGTCGACGATCAAATTATCACATTATTTGAATTCTACATGAGAGTTCTTCAATCGTTTCTTCAGATCTACGAGCGAGGCCGGATCTCTGAAGACTAAAAATCTGATGACTGCTTGCCGAACGTGCTTGGCGATTCAAAACTGATCATGGCAAGCCTCAATCTTGCATAGGAGATCTGCGTAATTGTTGCAAGTTTTGCTAGTCGATTTGCACACAAATAAGTGGTGTGCGTGAGCTGTCATCTAATGGTCACAATCATCGCCTCTCCAAGATGCTTCCGGCACCAGCACGTCATTTATTTTCACTATGTCTTGAATCAAGTAGAATCGTGTGCGTCAATTAGAGCCCCATCATCATAGTCTAAATTTGAAAGTCATTAGATTACAAACAGAATGACATTGATCGAGCAACCAGTTCAAAGTTAAAACACTGTCTGAGCAACACACGCAATGAACGAAGTGAATACATGAACCAAGGGAGATGAATCCTCCTTCCTAGCGTCGACCAACTTTGTAGAATCCACATACATTTACTCATTGATCGGGGCCGACCAAGGAGGTCTAAATGTTTAATCTAATGCAATCATGATCCTATGCTCGGAATTTAGATAGTAGAGACTCGAGGTAAACGATGAACATGGTACCAGATCGCAGACAGAGCTTGAAAACACTTAGAAAGCGACGTCCGAGTCTGTGAATTACCATATTGTGAATTTGTTTAGGTTCTTTCTATGTGATTTGCGGTTTGTGATCTGTTATTTGCCACTCTTGAAGAGGAAGTGGACCAACCTTTGCACCAGATCGCATTATCTGCCCTTCAGTCCCGCACTAGAGCTATCCCACAGGTCCTGTTTTCTTACTCAAAAGCCAGACAAGACCCATGGGTAGCTACTAGCCCATCCAGTGGATGAAGTGTCTGTAAAAGCAAGACAATTCTCCCCTCTAGCGGGTGATCTTCATATTCGGTCCTTTGGACCGTGTGCGTGTTGCGAAAGAGTTGTCGTTTACTTATTTCAATAATGATACTACAGTCATGACGCTTGTCTAGGCTCAATTTTACAAAACTTACAAGCAACGCACCTCATATCAAAAAGTTCCAAAAACAATCTTGCCGAGTCTCGTAGAGACTGTACCGAAATTCTAGATCCACAACCAATGACTAACACCTTCAACAGAAACCAACATTGGATTAACGCAAGAATAACAAATGAACGTCCAAGCGTGAAAATAACAAATGGAATTCTGGTCATATAATGAAGGTTGTTACATTTCTTGAGACAACTGCAAACTTTTCTTGGAATGCCCAAAGGTTCCAAAGAGTCAGAGAAGATTCCAAAATCCTGGAGATATTTTGAAGCTATATCAAATCCATCCAGTGCTAGAAACTATGCAGCCAAAACCAACTCTACGAGATGGTGTAAACCCACAGTTGCACTGAGTCACATTTCTGTCAAAAACTGAGGAGACAAAATTCCATTGGTAGGCTTTACAATACTTCATAAACCTCCAAAGTGAAGACAGTTCATATACACTCTCGCAGTACCATGATGGAAAAATACCAATGCTTTATCTTCTATGCCTTCTTTCATCTGCTCCAGACCGGGTGAGCTTGAAGTTCAGACATGCACGTAGTAATCATAATACACTTCTCTAGAGCCCCTATGAATGAGGGCAATGATTTCCTATGAACAAAATGCTTACTCCGTTCATTTCTAACTTAATGATGACAGGATTTCCGTTGGGAATATATTTGTGTAAGAGTCGCAAACTCAAAGATGTACACTGCTTATGAAAGCCAAGTGAATTATGAGTTAAAGCTGTTGAGTCCCCCAAAAAAATGTTTCTCTCACTACAATTAGCAAATAGTAGATTTAGCTGACAGCAATTCAGTAAAAATATCCTAATATATCCAAGGGGCAAAACATAGCTAAGGCCCGATAACGTCATATGCCGAGAAACCTATAATTCATCTTTAGAGATCACAAAACTGAAGAAGAGCGTTAGACTCTCCCTAACGAATTTTGAATAGGGCTTTGTGTTTTAAACCTTACGCAATGCAATCTAAGGTGCATTGTCTACAAGCTATATAACAAAATTTTTCAAGTTACATGTAAGTAATTTCCCATATGCATTAAGTCAAAGGAGCCCTCAGGTGATGCACAAGCAGCAATTAATCTACTAATGTACTACTGCCAATAGTGCATTCATTCGAAGAAAAACAAGATCACTTCCAAAATTTGTTATGTAGTGTATCAAATTTTTCGTTTGTTTATCATTCAGGCCTCAATACTAGCCTATTTGCTTCAGTATCTGTTGGAAATAGACATTCTCAGATTTTTTTGGTATACCTATGTATACATTTGCAAACTTCTTATACAAGTCTATGAGTGTGAAATGATGTGAACTCCCATTAATGTATTTAGGACTTTTACACCTTCAGGTGCTGCTTGAACCAGCTTATCATGTCATCATGGGTAGATTTCACCTGCTCATGACTATTTACATTGTACCTAATTGCCCAGCCATGTACCATCCCAGGAAAGATCTTGAAGGAGCTTGCCACCTGAGCCATGTAGACGCAAGACTCACTTTTAGAACCTCAATGCAAGGATACAATCGCAAATAAAGACTTAAAGTGTGCAGAAGACTCAATTGGAAGACTAATTGAGCTAAATAGAAAAGGGTGGTTAATTACATAATATAGATTTGGCTTCCTTATCTGCAACAGAGCTCTGAGCCCTTGTGTAACATAAAATCAAGGAGTGATATAGAAGTAAAGTATGCCATAATATCATAAGACTCACGGTCAAGTGTTCGACTAGGCAACATAATAAATAGTTCTTGAGTGTAAAACCATGCACTTTCCAGTATGATGGTAGTTCTCCAACTATTCTCTAATTGGTCACAGTGACTTTATCTTTTAAATTTTGAGTTCAATGACAAATACATGCATTCATAAATCAATTGTGCAGACGTTAATCAAACGTAATGATAGTTATTTAGGACAAAGAGATAGAAAGAAGTAAATTTAACTCAAGTCCCCACAAACTTTTGTCCAATACACATCAAGCCAAGTTTTCACATATCTCTGGTCTGGAAGAAAGAATAATCTTGGTTTCCTCAACTTTTTTGGCAGTTATTTGCTAATCGATTTCAGGGATACTAAATTGGACGGGCACTTTGAATGCTACACACCGCAGTAGTAACTATTATTCAGACTTCCACAATTCTTCAACTTTTCTTTGGTAAATATTAATATAGTGGAATTACTAGAAAAGCTAAAACATATAACCTACAACATTAACTCTAAAAAAAAAAAACAAAATCAACCAACCTAATCTTCGCGTAATTCATCTCAAGACTTCCAAACACGGATTATGTTATCAACTGATGAAGTCAACATGCATATGTTCTTAGGGTGGTAAGGGATCCCGTTATCTTCAAATCATAGTCGCTAGCTT